AGTTTCCATCTGATCGCGACCCTTGAGATTAACGCCTCGTGCTTGTATCTGAAATATGGAGAAGTTACTGTAACTCAGCATATTGCTGATATTACTAGGACTAAGCCAATTATAGATCAGAACCCATCTGGTTCTGTATGATAGGTGAGATGTGATAAGCAGTTTTACTTGCAACTAAAATACCCTTCTTAACATTTCAAAGAAGAAAATTTGGATTATTTTTTTAATAAAATGTCGTTAGAAGATGCTTGAAAAAGGCTCATTACTTAAAACTGTTTCACCTGAATAGACCAGTGCTGATTACTTTCGCCTGAATAAATGCAATATTTAAGCTAGATTTTCGTTTTGTTGGTGATTGAGTAAATCCTTTTCTCGTCAATTTGTGAATTAAGTAAAAGAATGGAGGCTAAGTCTTGGAAAATTTTAGCCAATAATTAGGCTGTCTATGCAGTTCGAAAATTTAGCTGAAACTAAATCTACTAGAGAATCTATTCACGCAAGATTAAAGTTTTAACAATAGGTTGTTCATTTCATATGTATTTAATGAAGAAAAGATTTCCAAAATGCAATCATGAAATGTCATTTCCTTCTATCAAATTCTTCATCCAGAAAAAGAAAGACATTCTTTCAAGAATCATATTTTTCATCTGTTAAACATGCACTCTCTGCACCCGGTTCCAATATAAATTCCAGGATATGAAAGATGCCTGACTAGACATTAATGCATTTCAAATGTCTTCATTTTAAGGTTGACCTCACAACATAATAATGCGAAAATTTGAATCGGTTTTGTAAGAGCTTTATGGATGGTAACTTTGCAACTGCTACATACCGCAGCGATGCCGTAATTTAGTTTAGAGTGACATTATGTCATCTAAACATTTTTATTTCCGAGCAGTGGAGTTAACATCCTTCGACATTCACTAATGCAGTCGTAGGAGATTAAATTCTTATGGATCTCATATAATCTAACTAAGGTCGGACCTCTTAGGAATTTTCTCTAATTTTACATGTGGTTTTTGATATTTGTTTCCGAACTATACAGAAGCACCGATATCTTGAGGAATTTATTGGGATCGATCGAAAGCAAGTGTAGGAATATCTTAATGAACCCACAAGTCTAGAATATTCTGATGTGGTGGGGCAAAAAGGAAAACTGCAAAGACAGATGGCTCTTTTTCTGTCTATATTAGAAAATCTGATCATTTATTTCTTTGAAAGGTAACATATCATGTATGTACTTGAAAACGATACCCTGCACATGTAAACATTTCTAAAGGTATATTAAAAAGTAGCCTCTGAAGAACAACTCTGGTGTACGTTTCCATTCAAAAAAGTAGGGAACTCAATGTCGAATCGATGTTCATAGAAAGAGGGATCACTAAGAGGATGTCAGTGCAGATTTTATGCATCAACCGAAGTGATTTCTGTCCATTTCTGGCTGAATTCGACATTCATTGCTCAACAAGAAGAAGCCGCTTCTTAATGAGTATGACCAGAAATGGAAAAGATCCAATTCATGGATTTCATGATATCTTACAAAATCCAAGCGATTTCATCGTATCTGGTTCTCTTCCTCACTAATTAATCTCAACCGACCTTACACAGGGGCCTTTTTATAGACCTCTAATTTGTTTGATATTGACAAACTCATTAGTCATTACAACCACTGCAGTACGCGGAGTTAATCCTGAGGTCCAATACAGTGGTACATAGAAAGGGAATGCCGACAAGTCAATTGCACGGTGTCTCTAGCCCAAAGAGCGAGGTCACTGCGCTCGTGGTCGATGACGACAAGGTTAGCCAAATGATTCACCACAAGCTCCTGAACATCCTTGGAATCGAGAACGATGTTGTCGTGAATGGGAAAGAAGCGGTTGACATCCACCTGTCTGGGAAGAAATTCAACCTCATTCTCATGGACAGGGACATGCCCGTCATGAATGGCATAGAGGTACTATTGACTTTCCTATGATCTAACTAAGAGCTAAAGAAAACCTAAGCTTGAAGCAAGGAAAAAGCCATTGGAAATTTTATGTTTTGGTTTTTGACAGGCAACAAAGAAACTGCGAGATATGGGCATTAGGAGCACCATTGCAGGCGTTTCGTCTCACTCATCCTCAAAAGAAAAACAAGAATTTATTGAAGCTGGTCTTGATGTCTATCATGAGAAGCCTTTGTCAGTTGCTAAGCTCCTCTCTGTTGTCAGTAACATGGAGCAGAAGGGATAGCGTGAACTTGCGCAGCATTACCAAATCAACCGTCGTTCCTTTGAGATGTTAATGATGTCAGATTGTATGTACTGCATAGAAAAGTGTAGCATTTTTTTCCATTCTCATATGGTTCAGTGAAGAATTTTATAGGCATGCTGAAGTTTTCCTTTTTTGCTCTGCCTCTCCTGTAAGAGAGCATGATCATGACTCATCACATGCTAAGGCTTTGTACAAAAACTTATAACAAATCTTAAACAGATGTTCAAATAAGTTGAAACCAGATACAAAGTGGTTAGCTCATTTGAATGACCAATGTCTACGAACTTATCAGATTGCTTAGTCAATAAGTCTTGCTAAATTTAAGGTTCTTCCATCACAGTAGTTCTTTTATAAGTGACATGATGTCGGTTCTTCACATGATTGTGCAAGAAAATGAGACTTGATTTGATTACGGACTCATAATTTTATAGTGTACTTATATGACGGATTTGACACAACCAATGAGCTGTGGACATGTGTCCTTGGTCGCCCGGTGGGAATAGAGCCGGCGCCCTACAGGTTACCCCATTGGCAGTACTAACCCGATCAGATGCATCAGGATGACCCCGTTGGCGTGGCACCAGTTGAAACCCTCGTCTTAAGTTGATCCCATTGGAGGGGGTGGCAGTCTAACCTCCACCCAAAAGCCGGGCGCCTATTGGTCCACTACAGTGGCCTAACTGTCGCCCCAACCCATCTGACAGGTCAACGTGACGCGTGTCTTTTCTACCCATAAGGGGTATATACCCATCTAAAAGGTAAGTCCACCTGTAAATACATCTCGCCATGCCCAGGCACGCATAAGCCAGTTCTGTCCTCTAAATACTGAGTCTATTCCTCCCGTTCTTTGCACTTCCCGACTTAAGTATCGGAAGGCCAATCCGGGTCACACGGCATGCCTTAACCTGTTATCTGTGGGTGCATGTCGAATCCTCGATCAGAGCCTGGGCTGCCTTCAAAAGGACCAGATTGAACTTCAACATGCATGAGATTCAAAAAGAAACTTCACCGTGTACGACGATACTTCTTGCAAAGACGAGTGTCCCAAGCATTTTATTTTCTAAAAATTAAAAGCAAGATTTATGATGTCCATACGTTATATGTACACCAGGATCTGTCATTACAAATCTCCTCGGAATTTGATTCTATTATTGATAACAGCCAACTCAAGTTGGATGTGGTTTCAGTGGTGTTGATTATTTTGTGTTCATTTAATTGTAATGATGCATTAGGAGGCTCTGTGTTGTAGACACCCCAATGTTCTTTTGTTGGTGATTAACTTAATCCTTTTCGCTGCAATTGTGAGTTTAGTATAGGAAAGGAGGCTAACTATGGAAGTTCAGCGCATAATTAACCTGTCTGATCCAGTACATAAACTTTGCGGGAACAAAATCCAACAGAAAATCTATTCATGTAAGATTAGAGTCTTAACTATAGGCTGTTCATTTCTTAAGCATCGAATGGAGAAAAAGTTTCCATAATGCATTGAGGAATTGTGGCTTCCTTTTAATTTTTCTCTCATCAAGAAAAAGAAAGGCATTCCTTCAGAGGTCAAATTCTTCTGCTGTCAGCCTGACACACAAGTTATCTGCACCTGGTTCTCAAATTAATTACAGGATATGGAAGATGAGCGACTTAGATGAAAAGTTTCTATTTCCAATGTCTTGAATTCATTGTGTCTTCACATTTCAGTTGCTTGCTTTCTAATATAAGCTCAGGCTCTAGTTTCACCTGGCAATGAAACGGCATGCAAAAATTTTGATTTGGCTCGTATAACGTTTGCGAATGGTGCTTGTGGAACTGCTATTTGTTGCAGCAATGTCGTTATTTAAGTTAACCATGACCTTCAGTCATCTACAATCTTCTATATTTGTGCAGTAGACGGTAGAGTTAACATCCTTTGACATTCACTTATGCAACTATTTCACTTATGCAACTATTAGAGATTTCTTTCTTGTAGATCTTATATCACCTAAGCACCGTCAGACCTCAGAAATTTTCTTCAATTTTACATTTGGCTTCTGATATTTGTTTCCAAACCATACAGAAGCAACGAAATCTCGAGGTTTATATTGTAGATTTGAGACAAGCATGAAATGTCACACAGAAAATAAAGTTGCAAGCCTTACACATGGATGTAGTGAGGAAAAAAACGATCCGAAAAGAAAGATGACTCCTTTTTCTATGTCTATATTACCAAATCTGATCATGATTTTCTTTGAAAAGTAATAATAGATCGTGTATGAATTTGAAAACAATATGCCGCACATGTAAACATTTAAAAAGTCATATGATAAAGTTGCCTCTAAAAGAAGAACGCGGTGTCTATTTTTATTAGAAAAAGTAGGAAAACTGATGTCACATTGATAAGTTCATAGAAAGAGGGATCACAGGACGTCGCCAGTGCAGATTGAATGTGTCAGCTGAAGTGCGATTTCTAACCATTTGCAGCCAAATTCGACATCCATTCCACAACATGAAAAAGCCGCAATATCCGCTTCTGTGGCTATTAACCAGAAATGGAAAAGATCCGATTCATATCCAACGAAATCCAAGTGATTTCATGATATCCAACGAAATCCAAGTGATTTCATCATATCTGGTTATCTAATTTCAACCACCTCACACACAGGTCTATTTATAGGACTCCCATTTGTTTGTCAGTAACAGACTCACCAGCCATTACGACCACTGAAGTATATAAACATAGTCCTGAGGTTCAAAACCTGGAAAAGAGAAGAAAACCGAATGTCGACAAGTCAAGCACTCAGCGTCACTAGCCTGAAGGGCGAGGTCACTGCGCTCGTGGTCGACGACGATAAGGTGAGCCAAGTGATTCACCACCATCTCCTGAACATCCTCGGAATCGAGAACCATGTTGTCGGCAATGGGAAAGAAGCGGTTGAGATCCACCTATCAGGGAAGAAATTCAACCTCATTCTCATGGACAGGGACATGCCTGTCATGAATGGCATAGAGGTACTATTAACTTTTCCTATGATGTAAGAGCTAAGCAAACTAAGCTTGAAACCAAGCAAGAGCCATTGGACATTTTACGTTGTGGGTTTTGACAGGCGACGAAGAAACTGAGAGATATGGGCATTAGGAGCACAATTGCTGGTGTTTCATCTCACTCAGTATCACAAGAGAGGCAAGCATTCATCGAAGCAGGTCTTGATGACTATCATGAGAAGCCTTTGTCAGTTGCTAAACTCCTCTCTGTTGTCAGCAAAATCATGCACAAGGCATAGCATGAACTCTCACCGCGTTACCGATAAATCATTGTTACTTTGAGAGTTACTGGATGATGTGGTTTGAATGTACTGCATAATAAAGAGTAGCAATTTTGTTTTCATTTGGTTCAAGAACTAATTTATCAGTCGTGCTGTAAGTTTCTCTTATTTGCACTGTTTCTCCTGGTTAAGAGAGCATGATCATCACTTATGTAATGCTAGGGATATTCAAAAGAGACTTACAATTCTATGAACATGCAATGACACTCATTGCACATGAATCACTCGTCAGAACATCTCCCATCCAATACGAGACTCGAGATGTCATGGGATAATAGGTAGCGAACGAAACCTTCATAAAGAAGAATGATACGTAGCTAAAATCTTAACAGCGACTTTTTAAAATAGCAATTTCAGTCTTTTCTCCTGCGTAATCATTGATATTCAAGAAAAGAAAAACTTCCCATTTGAGTTTGTCCCTTATAAAACTTGTCCTGAATCGAATTTTAAAAAGAATTATGAAATTATGCAACGAGTATATAAAAGTCAGTACAGGCACGGTTTAACATAGACACCCTTTTTTTTTGGGAATCTGATACTAGCAATCCCACCATAAATTAATTATTTTTTGCTTTTGTTTTCTGAACAAAAATATAATATTTTATTAGGGGATTCTAAAATTATATATCTATTCTTCTTCTGATGGGACCACTTGCTAGGTCTGATATTTTTTTATTAATTAAAGGGTCCTAATAATGTCCGGCAAGTCCACATTTGAAGCTAACTTCTAATAATTAATTGGACACTAATAACAACAATAACAATAATATTAATAATAATTGAATTGACTCCTAGATTGGTCCTAAGTAAGACATTAAACTGCTTCATCTGAAATTTCGCACGAATCTCGACATCCCTTAAACGTAAAATATATAAGAAATAGAGCCGGGTACTAGGCTCAATAAAGATTCAATCAACTTGGGGTGCTAGGTGTGCGGACACCGGCATTTATCAGCCCGTCAAGTATATGTACTTGGAAAAGTGAAGCGGTCCTAACTGGAAGCTTTGCTTTTCATACTGTGGTGAGATACATCTCAGTAACCACCGTCAAAGATTCACGGCAAGCCTGGGTTGCCTAATGACTCTTAGATATTTGTGGCCTGTCACTTTCTATCAGCATCACTTCTTTTTTGGGACTTTGTCTTTGTGCGCCAAATGAGTGGAATGTTGTCCGCAAACACTTAGATTGTGTTCGTTTGCGGTAGAATATTTTTTCAGAAAATATTTTTCGCGTTTTTCGATGTTCGGGGGTGAAAAATATTTTTCGTGGAAAACATTTTTCTTCCTCACCCCAAATCCTTCATTGTTTTGAGGAAAATGATTTTCTCTTTTCACAAAGAGGAAGTCATTTTCCCCAAAATTGAAGGTAAAATTGCCCATGAGAGGGAAAATAGTTTCCCATGGGAGAGGAAGTTGATCGCCGGTCACCACCGTTGGCTGGCCGCGGTCTTGGCCGCCGCCGCCCCGCCGCCGCCCGACCGCCGCCGGTCGCCGGCGAAGCCGCCGCCGCCGGCGCCGCCGCTCGCGCCGCGCCGCCGCCGCCGCCGCCCGCCGCCGCCGCCCGCCACGGTGCGCGGTGAAAAATATTTTCCGAAACTTTTTCATATTGGTCGCCGAACACCGAAAAATTATGTTCCGGGAAAATATTTTCCAGGAGAATGACTTCCGGGAAAATATTTTCCAAAAAGAGAATATTTTCCGCCAAATGAACGGAGCCTTAATGGCCAATTGTCAACGTTTGTCCCCGACATGCAACGCTTGGCATATGCGTAGATCTTCTTCATATACGGACAGTCGACATCTCTTTGGAGTCTCTTCTTGGCGTGGAGTTATTTCCGCACATATCTTCATCCGATCGAAACCATCGGTGACAGGTCAAACCCGAATGGAATTTCAAAGAACGTTCGGAAATTCACATCCCCATATTACCGGATCAAACGGATCGATAACCATTTACCCACTATCTCGATTTCCCGCATCGCGTATAATTCATATTTTGAAAACCTAACTTTCAATATATCATATCGACGAGTGTCTTTAGGTACCCTTAAAGCGTACTTACTAACAAAATCATCCCATAAAACTTTCTTAATCGGGTGCTTAACTTCGGTCGTCTTTGGACACGTGTCGATGGAATCCACCATGAACTCAACGACAAAATATAATGGCATTTTATCATGCAAGTGCAAGTGAGGGTTGATGGTCCAAAAGGAGGCGCATGGAGGATAGAGGGACGGATAGACCTTATCCCCAACTTGTCATCCAAGCAGGCATTTGTCACGACCCAGCAGCACCAAACCAAACCAAAGCCAGCTGCTACAAAACCAGCCAACAGAAATCTCTCTCTAAAGAGAAATCAATAAACGACGTCGTTCAATGGATGATGCGATGGACGTAGTCGAAACGCCTCTTGGTGAAATCTAATACCGCGTTGTCGAGTTAATTTTAGCAACAATGGCATCCCCAAAAGTCATAGTAGAAAGTATAAATGTTGCTAACAATTTGTCGAAGCAAGGTACCACAACATTCAAATGTCCGATGAGGGAGTGCCATTTCAATTCATGAGCTTCTTGTCTATCGATAATTTGTCACAGACTTATGTTACCGATTTGTTGCGAAGTAGTGCAATTCCTAATTTTGAGATAAAATATGAAAATTGCTTTGTCGATTTACAATAAAATGACGAAATATCTTCCATGGCTTTCGATTGAGGTTCTTTATATCCTTTTCGATTATGGACATTATTCCTCTGCTCATGATTGGACAAATCATGTCTTTAATTAGTAGGTTACAAATTATGGACACCGCCCTCATGCAAATGTAACTAAGTATAAAACATTAACGATATTCAATCAGAAGACTAACATGATGAAGTTTCTTCCAATGAGGAAGGGACAAGAAAATGGTCCCATCATTTTCACGTATTTTTAAGTGATTGGTGAGATACTATAATTTAATGATAAATACAGTTAAAATGTCATTATGCATGAACAAATTATCTATGGGCATGCTCGTAGCCCGTGCGCGCGGGGCAAATGGGTAAGTCTGTTGAGAAAGAAAAAAATGGGTGGTTCTACAAGGTAATAGTGTCAATTATTTATTTATTTTTTTGGCTTTTTATGATTTAATATAAGTATAATTTAAGATACCCAATAAGTAAGATAAAACCCAATTTTTTCCTTAAATTTATTTAGACCCAACGTGCGTGCTGCGCGCCACATACACGTTTTATTGCGCCAGTATTGCTCATTAAACCTTCTCAAATAATGAACGATTCTCTCGTTAAATAGATGTTGTAATTATTTTCTTATTTCTTGTTTCGTAGTTGTCTAACCACGTTTGGATTGTCAAATCACGGTGCAAATTCGACGAGGTTGGTTTTCACTTTTCAGTACAATACGAGGGAAATAGCCCATGAATTTATTTAAATTTAGGGTTAATATCGTGAAAAATCCTAAATTGATACACTTGTGACAATTTTATTTCGAACTAATTTTTTTATCACCAAAAACCCCAAACTGGTACACCTGTGACAAATTTATCCTGAACTATTTTTTTTTACCACCAAAAATCCAACATTGGTACACTTATGACAATTTTAATCAGAACTAATTTTTTGACCACCAAAAACCCAAAACTGGTACATCTGTGATAATTTTACGCCCAATTAATTTTTTTGCCACTAAAAACCTCAAACTGGTACATTTGTGACAAATTTACCCTCCGTTAGTGTCCGTTAAATTGGATTAATATCATGAAAAATCACAAATTAGTAAACTTGTGACAAATAGAGGGGTAAAACCCCAAACTGGTACACCCGTCAACTATCTCGTGTCATCAAACTTAGCAATTTGACAGTAAAATTTAACAGAAACTAACGGAAGATAAATTTGTCACAGGTGTTCCACTTTGGAGTTAGTTTATGATAAAATTATCACATGTGTACCAGTGTAGAGTTTTTTGTGGTAAAAAAAATAGTTCGAGATAAAATTATCACAGGTGTACCAGTTTGGAGATTTTTGTAATCAAAAAAATAATTTGAGGTAAATTTATCACAGATGTATCAGTTTAGAATTTTTTTGTAGTATTAACCCTTAGATTTATCCAGGCTATTATCATAACTTTAGTTTCGAAATAATGAAGACAGAAAGATACCAAAAACAAATACAAAAAAAAAAAAAAAAGATATGTCTGTAGATGGAAAAGACACAGAATAGAGAAAACTCGAAGGAAGAGAGAACAGAAGAGTATAGTGGTACGGATGTTTCGGCCGTACCCAGTAATACCAAATCTGGATACTGCGTGCGTAAAAACAAGCTGAAAGAGTTGCCATTTATAGCTCGCGAGCTTCAATTCTCTTCTCTTCATCCCCACTTCCAACTTCACCGGTATCTTACACACTACAGAGACTCCATCTCCATCTCCATCTCCATCTCCATCTCGTACGCACGTACCCAAAGAGACGGCTTCGGTTCTTGCTGTGCGAGGTATGGGTCGCCGTCACGTCTCTCTCTCTCTGTGTCTCTGTGTCTCTCTGTTTTTCCAATCTTTGTGTCCAACTCGCTTTCACTCGCGCTGGAAGTCGCGGAGTCCCATCACTGTCTCGCCATTTGCAGTTGCAGGTAACACGGAGAGACGATGAGCGTGCTCGTCCCCGACGGCGGCGAGGACTTCTCGGTACCCTTCTCAACGAGGTTAGCCATGAGAGCAAGATGGGTTCTCTTCTTGGTTCTTTCTTTCCATCTGGATTGGAAGAGAACTGAAGGGTGCTTGGTTATGAATTCGCAGGGTCGAAGATGAGATCATGGAGCTGCTCTGGGAAGACGGGCGGCTCGTCGTTCAGAGCCTCGTCGTTCAGAACCAGAGGCCGGCCAAGGCGCGAGCCGGGACCGGGGCGGGCGGCGGAGGGTCCCGCGAGGGGGAACGCCAGCGACACCGTCGCCCCTTCATCCAGGAAGACGAGGTGGACTCGTGGCTACAGTACCCCTTCGACATCTTCGACGGCGGCGGCTTCGGCTCCGACCTCCCGTGCTCGCCCACGCCCTGCGTCACTTCGATCTCCGACGCCGATTGCGACTTCGGAACCGCCGATTCCCGCGAGGTTACGAGCGAGAACGGCGCGTCGGAGGGCTCCGCGCTCGTTCCGAAGGCAGCGACGGGGGAATTGAGTCCGCCGGTCTCGAATGAGCTGACTGCGGCGGAGCCGAACGGGACTGCACCTCCCGCGAGCTCGGGAGGCGTGAGAGGTGACATGAGGCGGGAGAGGGCTAGCGGCGCGGCGGTGGATGCTCCGACAGGCGGCGGCGGCGGCGTCGGTGAGGAGGGGGTGGCTCGTGATGAGACGATGGTGACGTCACGGCCAGTCGGGTCCACCACAACCGGCACAGGGCGGCTAGCTCCGGCGGGGGCGGCATCACAGCTGGGTATGCAGAGGGAGAAGAGGAAGCGCGAAGGGAGAGAGGCAGGGGACGTTGAGTGGCTCCGTGACGAGGTACTTGCGAGTCTCGTTTAGATATTCGGTCTTCTTGGCCAGAGATCATATTAGATTTTTGAACGTAGTGGTAAAGTCACGACACTTTTAATTTTTACTTCTTGGTTGGCCAGAAACACCAGCATGTTTCAAGGGTGTTTTCCATGCCTAGGATGTTTTCTCCTTCGAATATTCATCTTTTTTGTGGTTGTGTTCCATGCTTTTGCAGAAGGACGTCCGTTTTAAATCTGCTAATGCAAAGGAGCGAGCTGCTAAATCAACCCCTGCAAAAAGATCTCGTCGTGCAAATGTCCACAATCTGTCGGAGAGGGTCTGTGCTACTGCCCCTTTTAGATAATGATGGCAGCTGTTTCTTTCGAGTCTCTAGTTTGCTTGACATGTGTATTTGATTCATCTGCAGAGACGCAGAGACAGAATCAGTAGCAAGATGAGGGCCTTGCAAGAACTTATTCCTCAGTGCACCAAGGTTGTTGTGTTACACAGATCAGTTCTTATCTAAGATTTTTGTATGTTCAACTACCATTTCTGATGGTGATGCTTGTGTTCCCTCTCTGTGGTGAGCATTTTGCTGATACAAATTTACCTCTCCCTGTTTTTCAGGCTGATAAAGCGTCATTGCTGGATGAAGCAATCGAGTACTTGAAGTCGCTTCAATTGCAAGTGCAGGTAGAGTCTCCACAATTGCTTTTTAGATGGTCCTGCTATCTAACTATGAACTAAATAAGCTGCATGTGGACATTTCTTCTGAAGAAGCTCGTGGTATCTCCCTCACTGCATAAAGTTTAGACCAGAGATACTTGTGCTGGTAGAATTACCTCAGAGAAACAAATGGGTACAGTCATTAAGCATTGTCTTGCAAAATTGATGTAGGGTACTATTCATTTAGTACATGATGCTCAAATGTAAGAAGTAAAAGGGGCTAACACAAGTCTGTTCAGCGTGGATTCTTCTTTTAAATTCCTCTCTTAAGTGCGCATTCTACATCCATCTTTTTGAATTTTTAAATCATTCTTAGGGGCCTGGTATATTGATCCTATTAGACTGAGCCTGAGCTCATCTCAAATAAATTATTCAATACTTTCCGGACTAGAACACACTTGTTAATCTTTGAAATACTGTCTTGAATGGAGTAGATTTTTCATTTGTGCGAAGCTTAGTTTACAACACTGCATCATCATTTTTGAGCCTGATACTGACTTCACAAACAAATAATTCTTTCAGATGATGTCCATGGGGTGCGGTGTGGTCCCTGTAGTATTTCCTGGTGCACAAGCCTACATGCCATGCATGAACATGGGCACTACGACGGATGCAGGCATGAATCGCCCCATGATGCTATTTCCTAACATCTTGACTAGTTCGATGATGCAACCGTCAACTTATGGTGCTCACTTGGGCCCTGGGTTCCCTGTTTCAACCTTTAGCATGCAGCAAGAAACTCCTAGTCAATTCAGAACACCATCACCTAGTCACTTGGATCCAACATTAAGCTCACAGATGATTCATAATCTGAGCCATCAATTTCCTGCAAATTCCAGTTCCTTTCAGCAGCAGTTTGGCCTTTATTATATGCAACGACCACCACAATAGGTACTTTCTCAGTCCCTCAATGATTGGAATTTATATGCAATGCGGGAATAAACTGTCTCCCGTTATCATGTTACAATACTTTCTTTGCTTCAAAGAGGAAGTCATCATTCTGATTTGCTTATTTATTCTAAATGTCTTCAGTAAAGCAAAATGTTTTATAAGAAAAACCAATAGCAGCGGCCTCTTGAAGGTGGAGAACATACTTCTTGCTACTTGTTTCACTGTAGCATTTATTCAGTCTTGAGAGCACGTACTACTGAGGCTGAACTGTTATAAGAATGCATATTAGCTTTTGGTTGTCTACGCTTATATTAAGTTAATGCGCTCGGGAATTTGATTGTATTTGGTTGCTGTTCTTCTCAGATTGACATAGACAGTCGCATATCAAAGAGAACAGGACCGAGTTATGATCCAGCCTGGTGGTGCCAAGCCAAAGTAGGAGCGGAGGAGGTCAGTATCAGGTCAGCTAACTCAATCTTCTTTCCCAATCAACTTCAAATGTTTGGACCAGTTTGTAGTTCTGAGTTTAGAAAGTTTGTTCTCGGATCAAACTCCATAAAGGATCATTGATCAGAGCCTGCATTGTGAAGTTGTGAACTGTGATTATCATGTCGGTGCATGCTGCTGATCCACAAGTTGAAAAACTCTATTTTTCATGAGTAATTACTTAGAAGGAGAAGAATAGAGGTCAAAGTGAGTTTATTTGAGGCAAAGTGAGTTGCTTGCGGATTTATCGATATCAATACATTGGGGGTGCTTTTTTTTTTCATTGTGGGATTGATAAGGGCTGATATCGTCTCTGAAACATTAGAACAATGCTCTGCTCTTACTTCTATAGTAGGTGCCTGATTAGGAGAAAGGAGGCCTTCCTCAATTGATTAGTTCTCTGTCGTTTCTTGGTGTAGTTATAAAGTCAATTGAACTCGGCATCAATAACGTGTCCGTCGTTTTTTGCAATCTTCGATTCGACCCGAGTCACTGAATTTAAAATTTTGTGCCTCCTTATAGGCTCGGCGCCATTAAGCTCGGCTATCCATGCATTCTCACCTCATGTTGACGGTGAAAGACCGGCCCAAAGGAGATTCCTGGCTAATTCAGCTAACTGTTGTGTACGATCAATGAAATATAGTTCAGTGTTCTCTCGTACGATCAATGATAATATAAGTTCAGTGCTCTCTCTCTCTCTCTCTCTCTCTCTCTCTCTCTCTCTCTCTCTCTCTCATGCATAAAGCAGAGGGTCATGAGCACAATTGTCTCTACCTTTAATTTCCTTGTCATGTACTTTTCTGTCCAAAGTCAACAAAGGAGCCTTCGCAACCTTTTATCGATTCACTTCGATCCATATTCTTAAAGGTATCTCATTGTCGACTTTGAAAGGTATCTCATTGTCGACTTTTCGGTGAAACGGTTAGTATGTCAAACTGAACTCAGTGTGTTATGCCAAAGGAAAATAAATCATATCTATGTAGTTTGACACCACAAAACGATTGACTATTTAAATCGACGAGTAGCAAGCTCAGTTGATGAGAGCAAAACTTAGTCAAAGCAGAAGTGATTAATAAATAAAGCAATCAATAACTTAAAGGAATTCGTTAGCTCATCAATAGAGTCATTGATAGCAAACAGTGCAAAGATTATCGATGAAAGCCATACCAGTGGACAACTTGAAGAGATCATTAATGTACCACCGATAGTGTCATCGATAGTTTTTTTAACTTTGGGTCGAAGTCATCGATAGTTAACTATTGCAGATCTTGCTAAGTTGTGAAGCAAAGTCATTTACGAACAAAACAAAGGTTTGTCTACACGTCAATTGAATACAAAGACGGTGGATCTATACCACCAAATGGCTGCTAGGTTGTCATGGTTATACTTAGAAATTTGTAACTTCTTCTGAATAATCATTGTTAGATGATAGAGATTTGTGGCTAGAATCTCGAGCATAGATGTTTATCAACAGTAGATAGTACTAAAAAGTTATTTGTGAATTCAATAACTGCTTGTAAATTACTGTCCCTAGTGGGGTATAAATGTTAAATTGTAAATGGTCGCAATCAATCACAAAACATTCTGTTCTTCGCATATTTATTTTCTTCTTTAAATTTCTTGCAAATTTACCTTCTAGCACTTTAAATTTCCCATATCCTTTACCCTTTCTGCACCCTTTAATTTACAGTACATGCATTTCAATTCATTTGCTTTTACAGCCATTTACATTCCTATCCAAAATCAACAAAGAACCATTTTTTTTCCCAAAACATTCATGGATTCCATCCTTTTTGAAAATTTTCACTTTCTAGTGAAATATTTCTTTTGGCACACCCGGTGGGACTACTTTTGTTGATTCGAGGAGATTGCAATGGCCAGATAAATATTTTATGGATATTTGTTGCACAAAATTGCTGTGGGCTCTCCTTGACAGTAGCGTGTTCGTCTGCCTCTTTCTTCCAATAGCTCCACTGAAGTCTTAAATGCAAGGAAAAAAAAAGAAAGAAAATCAAACAAATGATGTTTCAAAATTATTTACTGCCGCCCGGAGCTAAAATTCTAAGTGCGGTGGAAGTATACATAGATAAATCAAAGCGGAATTTTCACACATGATTGAGACGAGGTCTCGATATTGCTGGATCAAACGAATCGATAATCATTTACTCGCTATCTCATTTTACGAGGAAATTTGTATGGATATTTCTCGTATTATGTGTAGTTAATATTTTGAGATAGTGTCTTCAATCGCCTCCGAACCACGCTTAATTTTAAATAATTCCATTTTTGAAGCATTGAGTATACCTTTCACGAAAGCACTCGGCACATTAAAAATTATAAGATGTTCTTAATCTGATTGCTTAACTAGTGTCTCTGGACGCATATTAACAAAATCGTAGGTAAGCTCTTCGACGAAAAATATAATTCATTTTTTCACGCACTTGTTGGAAGCAGGAGCTGAGTTTGATCGTCAAAAGGGTCCAAAAGAAGTGGCATGGAGGAGAGAGAGAGAGGGACAGACCATACCCCAAATTCCAAGTATCGGGTCATCGACAAGTGCATACATCGCAACCCATTAAGCCAAAAAGGCACCAAAGACAGTAGCAGCTACAAAGCAGCCACAAGAAATATCTCTAAAGAGAAATTAATTAACGACCTTATTCTATGAATGATGCGATGGATGTAATCGAACAACGTCTCTGCGAAATCCAATTTTTGCGTTGTTCGGTTAATTTTAGCGATAGCGGCGTCCCAAAAAATCATTAGATAGACTGTAACTATTGCTAGAAAATATGTCAAAGGAAGGTACCGCGATATTCAACATCCGATAAGGGAATGTCATTTCAATTTATGAGCTTTTTGTCTGCCGTGCCACGAGATGGGGTAACTCGTCGATAATTTGTAGTGGAGTTATGTTGTTAATTTGTTGTGACATCTATGCGATATAGTGCAATTCTTAGTTTTAAGATGAAATGTTATAATTCGCAACGCCTCTCATTGATTTACAGTGAAATGATGATACTATTCAATAATCTCTTCCATGGCACTCGATTGAAGTGCTTCATGTCCTTTGCATATGGACTTCATTTCCTCCGTCTAACATTGGAGAAATCGTGTCTTTGAATAGCACGCTACGAATTATGGACATCCCTCACATGCAAACTTAACTAAATACAAGCATCAACGATATTCATCATATAACTTATCAATCAGAAAACTAATACGGCCAAGTTTCCTCCAACGAGGAACGGATAAATACATAATCCTATCATTTCATGTGTATTAATCTAATTCTAAATACCGTTAAAATGTCCTTATGCATAAACCAATTATGCATAATTAAGGACATGTGTTTGCTTGCGCACAAATGGGCAAGTTTGTTGACGAAGAAAATGGGTAGTTGTGCAAGGAAGTGGGATGTAAGTGGGAAGTTACTAAGAGTGTTAATTAGGTTTTTTTTTTTTGTCTTTCTATGATTTAATATAGGAAAAATTAAAGAATTCCCCAAGAGAGAGACCAAATCCATTCTTTTTCTTAATATTAACTTAGACCTGATGTGTGATGTGCGCGCCATTTATGTTAGATTGGGCCGGCGATGCTCATAAATTATTCGCAACTTTGAAATAGCTCTCTCATGCAACTAGTGTATTAGCTTTTCTTTTTTCCTTTAAATTGCCTAATTACATTTTGATAACCAAATGATCCTGCAAATTCAGTGAATGATGGTTCTCACTTTTCAGTACCATATATGATGAAAAATAGTCCATGAATTCGTTCAAAACTGTTTGACCAAAAAGAAGAATTCATTTAAAATTGATTCAAAGTCATTACCATAATTCAGTTTTGAAATAATAACTCTCTCTCTCAAATTGAAAGAATAGGATTACCAAATCTTGATACTGCCGGCGAAAAAACTTGTTATTTCATCGGCTGTGCACGAAACGAGTTTATCTCTTCCTTTGAACGTGAACTCCCAAAGATCTCTCTCTCTCTCTCTCTCTCTCTCTCTCTCTCTCTCTCTCTCTCTCTCTCTCTCTCTCTCAAGGAAAGGAGAGAGCAGTATAGATACAGATGTTTGAGCAGTGCACAGTATTGCAACCGTAGACAACAAACCAAAATCTTGATACTGCGTGCGAAACCATCTCGTCGGCTACGTACAAGACAAAAAGCTACTTTATGGCTGGGAACTCCCAAAGATCTATCCCAAAGGAAAGAGTAGCACAGACACAGATGTTTTGGCCGTACACAGTATACCAAGTCTTGATACCGCGGGCGAAAAGCTCGTTGTTATATCTCATCAAGCTGTGTACCCGACAAGTTTACGCCTTTTCTGCATGGGAACTCCCAAAGATTGCTGCAGAGAGAGCTGCCATTTATAGCATAGCTCGCGAGCTTCACACCCTCTCTTCAACACCACTTCGATTTCCCAGTTTCTGCACAGCACAGAGACTCCAGAGAGGTCATCATCGCTGGTTACATTTCCATCCATTTCTTGCGTACCCACAGAGAGGAATTCGATTCTTGCGGTGCGAGGCATGAGTGGGTATCACCTCTCCCCCTCTCTCTCTCTCTCAATTAGAATATTTAAATAACAAATCACGTATTCATCTAATAACTTAAATTTTAGAACAGTTCACGGTGATCTTACCAAACCTCGCATTCTCTGTGTTTCAATCTTTTGTCCAACTCGCTTTCACTCACGCTCCAAGTCATAGAGTCCCATCACTCACCGAAGTGTATGTTCCACTTTCAGCCTCGCCCATTGCGGTGGCAGATAACACACAGAGATGATGAGTGCGCCCGTCCCTCACTTCCAGATTGACGACGGCGACGAATTCTCAGTTCCATACTCGACGAATCTAGCCATGCAAGCACATCGGTTCTCTCAGGAGTTTCTTTCTGAATTCGAAGAAAACTGGAGTGCTTCCACTGCGCGTACATTCCCGTGATGATGGTGTTTTTCCAAAGTCAAACGTTGTTGTTCAGCATCTTGTATGACTATGAATTCTCAGGGTCGAAGATGAGATCATGGAGCTGCTCTGGCAAGACAAACGCCAGAGACCGGCCAAGCCACGATCTCCGCCGTATGTGTGCGAGGACGCCGCGATAGCAGCAGGCGGCCGTGAGGAGGGGGTGGCAAGTCATGAGATGACGGTGACGTCATCGCCCGTCGGCTCCACCACAGCTGGCATGGGGGGGCTAGCTCCGACGAGCGCGGCGTCACAGCTTCGCATGCAGACGGAGAAGAGGAAGGACGGCGAGTGGCTCAGTGACAAGGTACTTGCGAGTCTCGTTTAGGTTTTTGGTCCCTTCTTGTATCAGTCGGCACGATCACTTCAGCTTATGTCTATTAGAAAGTTGGAACCTCACGAAATTATAGAATTTCCATTCGATGTCCTCGTTAAAGGTGATAGCGAGTGAGTTGCTAATGTATGGATTGGATTACTTGAGCTTCACTTACACTTAAGTAACTATGCTTTCTCAACAAAGCCTTGATGATGAGTATCAACCCTAACGCCTTGAGAAATTTTCCTGGTCTCCCAATTCCCCGGTCTTGACTAGCACTGACTAGAAACACAAATATGTTTCTCGCTTTCAAATATTCATTGGTTTTTCCTTTTGTGTTCTATGCTGAGAAGGACGTTTCTTTTAAATCCGCTAATGCAAAGGAGCAAGTTGCTAAATCAACCCCTGCAAAAAGATCTCGCAGTGCAAATGACCACAATCTGTTGGAGATGGTCCGTACTACTCCTAGGGGTAATTGGTTCCAGGGCCTGGAATCCTTTAGGAACCAGCCCGGACCTGAATTGGGCTGATTCCAGGTCAACCCGAGAACCCCTATCAAACTTTAAGTGATATAACTGTTATTTTAGGAAAATATGCCTATGAACAATCTGTGGCATAGTGGTTGGGACCGGTTCCCCAATGTTTTGCTCAGAAACATATCCGGTCTCCATGTGAATTGATCACCCTAGCAATTACCACTTTTAGATAATGATAGCAGCTGTATTTTCAAGACTCTAGTTTGCTTAACCGGTATATATTTGATTCATCTGCAGAGACGTAGAGACAGAATAAATGGAAAAATGAGGGCCTTGCAACAACTTATTCCTCAATCCACCAAGGTTGTTCTTTCAGACAGATCAGTTCTTATCTAAGAATGTTGTAGATTTAACTACCACTTCTGGTTGTGATCCGTATGTTCCCGCTCTGTTATTAGCATTTTACTCCTGGAAATTTGGCTCTCCCTTCTTTTCAGGCTGATGAAGCATCATTGCTGGATGAAGCGATTGAGTACTTGAAGTCACTTCAATTGCAAGTGCAGTCACTTCAATCGGAAGTGCAGGTAGAGTCTCCAAGTGCTCTTTAGATGATCCTGATATTTAACTTAGAACTAAGTAAGCTGCATGTGAACATTTTTTTCTGAAGCTCATGATATCTCCCTCACTGCACAAAGTTTAGACCAGAGTACTTATGCTAGCAGAATAATCTCAGATAGACAAATGGGTACAGTCATTAGGCATTGGCTTGCAAAATTTATGTAGGATTATTATTCATTTAGTACATGCTGCTAAAATGGTAAGCAGTAGAAGGAGCTAACAGAAGTCTGTTTACCGTGAATTCTTTTTTTTAAATTACACTCTCAAAGGGCGCATCCTACATTCATCTTTTTGAATTAATAAATCATTTTTAGGAGCCTGGTATTTAATCTTATTAAAGTGAGCCTGAGCTCATCTAGAATAAATTATCAAATACTTTCCTGGACTAGAGCACTCTTGTCAATCTCTGAGATATTGGCATAAATGGAGTATATTTCTCATTTCTGTTAAGCTTAGTTTACAACACTGCATCATCTTTCTTGAGTCTGATACTGACTTCACAAAACAAACACTTCAACCAGATGATGTCCATGGGGTGTGGCTTGGTCCCTGTTGTATTTCCTGGTTTACAACCCTACATGCCATGCATGAACATGGGCACTGCAATAGATGCAGGCATGAATCGCTCCAGGATGCTATTTCCTAACGTCTTGGCTGGTTCGATGACGCAACCGTCACCTAATGGTGCTCAATTGGGCCCTGGGTTCCCCATTCCAACCTTTAGCACGCAGCAAGAAACTCCTGATCAATTAGGAACACCATCACCGAATCTTTTGGATCTGATCATTAAGCTCACAGATGATTAAAAATCTGAGCCAGCAATTTTCCGCAAATGCCAATTCCTATCAGCAGCATCTGGGCCTTCCTTATATGCAGCAACCAGAACAAAAGGTACTTTCTAAGTCCTTTGACGCTAGGAACTTATATGCGATGCGGTAATACACTGTTTACCGCTTTCATGCTACAATACTTTCTTTGCTTCAGAGAGGAAGTCATCATTCCGGTTTGCTTATTTATTCTGAATGTCTTCAGCAAAGCAAAATATTTGATAAAAAAAAAACCAATAACAGCAGCCTCTTGAAGGTGGAGAAGATAGTTTTTACTACTTGATTCACTGTAACATTAGTTCCGCCTTAAGCCTGAATAAGCCTGAGAGCACGTACTAGTTACTACCTGGACCAGCATAAGAACACATTTTAACTTTTAATTTGTCTACGCTAATCTTAATTTAATGCACTCGGGAGTTTGATTGTACTTGGTTGCTCTTCTCAGATTGACATTAAGAGTTGCTTACTACTGTGAACAGGACCAACTGATGATCCAGCCAGGCGCTGCCAAGCCAAAGTAGGAGCAGAGGAGTGTTGGACATTGTGATCCATTTTCTCTACACTAAATCTAGAAACTACTAGTTGAATCCTGAAGACTCTCACGTGAAGACAAGCAAAGAGAAGTTCAGAAGAATCCAAAAAAAAATACATATCTAGTCCTCGGCAGCAAAGGAAGTGTGTAGAGAACACTAGGGTTTGTATCAAAATAATCTTCAGCTTGCAGAAAAATAACAGCACTATGTCGGTAATGTTGCTCTATAAATAGAGCTTGTACTCATTGAGGTTTAGACCTCCACCAAGTGTGGGGGGAGCATGACACTCCTCCACCAACACCTCCTCCACTATAAACTAATGAAATTATCATTGTTCCATAAACCTTGCTTATATTCCTCAAAGTATCCTAAGTTTGTCCATTCCTCTACATTAACAAGACCAGACACACATCAAAATACAAACCATCATCCACATCATATCCATGTTTCCGTGCACAATCAAATTTTCAATATGGTATTAGAGCTCCAAAATTCTAACAAGGAGGCCAGTTTCGTGTAAGATAACTCATCTCCTTTCCTAATCAACTTCAATGTTTTGAGCAAGTTTGAAGTTCTGCGAGTTTAGAAAAGGAACTTAAAATACAATTCTCAAATGAAACTCCGTAAATGATCACTGATCAGACCTCGTAAATGACCATTGATCCGACCTTGCAACGCGAAGTTGTGAACTGTGATTATCATATCGGTGCATGCTCCTGATCAACGGTTTAATAAAAACTTATTTTAATGATAGAGGTCAGAGTGAGTTTGTTTGGGAGAAAAAGAGTCGCTACGGGATTTATCGGTATCAATACATTTGGGATGCCCTTTTTTTGGGGTTTCTTGATTGATACGGTCTGCCATCCTACTAGAAACCGACGGTTTGTTTTTTATTCTATTTTAGGTCTGCCTGATTACAAGAAACGAGGCCCTACCTCAGTGGTGGGAGAAGTTTACCGCGTCAAATCGAACTCGGTGTTGGATTATGCCAAAGGGACGAGATGTCACGTCCGTGGTTTTCTTGTAATGTTCAATTCGACCTGAGTCACTGAGGTGGTATAAGTTTTGTGGTAGACGACACTCCTGGATAACTCAGCTAACAACAGGTGAAGTCAATGAAACATAGTCCAGCATTCGCCCTTTTACGATCAACGAACAACGCGCCTCTTATATGATCAGCACTCTCTCTAGCATCTATCTCTAGTAAAATAATGAATGGCACTTGTTATCAACCACAAGAAAAAGCGGCGGGGCTTAAATCACATCCAGGGGAATTATAGGATATAAGGAGGAAAACATCAATAACTGGTTTTTTCTCCGGAAAAAGTGAGCACATTACAAACAAAAGGACCATCCATCATCTGAGGACTAAACTTGAAACAAACAGTATAAATTACAGAATTGTCGATCCCAGAAATGAGTGAACTCAGACTCTCACATGTAAAGTCCTTCCGGAACCCCTTCTTTCTTCTTGAACATAACCTTCTCCTTTGCCTTCTTGAAATCCGAATGTGTCACCTGAAACGTGAGAGTTGCCGCATTAGATTCACCCGACCATACATAACCAATTTTAGGAAGTCCCGCGAACATGTCCCATCTCACTTATTACCAAACCCGCCTGAACTGTAAACTGCAAGCAATTCTACTTGAAGGCGAATTCAACATTATCGGCTCAACATATTGGCATCATAAATACTTGAAAATTGACAAGCTTTGGCAAGGAACATTAACAACTCAACAAGATCAAATGCTGTCACAATCCTGATAATATTCCAACAAAGAGTTAAACTATGACCAGTATGGTGAAAATTCAGAGACAATCTGAACTTGGCCAAGATCCTTGGTGGCTTAAAAGCAATCAATCAAGACAAAAATGCGTGAAGTTATTTTCATCAAAGTCGAGTCATCGAGGGCTTGTTAAATAGATGAGAAACAATGGGAAAACTTTTTGCTGAGCTGATGAAAATAATGCTAGAGAACATGGATTAAACAACATATTAATACAAAAAGGCAAAAAAAAAACAGATTCTAAATTGCGTAATTATACTCAGAAAAGCAAGAGCTCAGTATGTGACAAATCAGGAAAATGGCCACGTATAGATGTAGCCAAACCACAGAACCAGTTCTGACATATGACATATCAAGGGGGGACATCACCCAACAAGTGAAGTCCAGCCAGTTGCCACATACATTGGGGACAACAAGGCTGATGTAAGGCAGCACTTGATGAAAATTACAAAAGATAAGGGCACTCCATCTAGTTTCCTTACAAGATCTCCCTAACCCAATATCCTCCTCGAGGGCCTGACAAATCCCTACTAAACTTCTCTAGTCAAACTTCTTTTCACACCAAACATATTATGACCTCTTTAGAAGCTTAACCACATTTTCCATGGAGCTCTAGTGCCATTACAACCCCACGTAAGAAACTAATCATCAAAAAGAAGATGTTCACAAAAGATTGCTTATACTTAGTATTATAAACCTTTTCTAGGTTAAGAATGTCGTTTTGTTTCCCATTATACAGATCACTAAAGAAGATGCTAAATGTGAGAAAAACAACCATTTTTGAGAGACTATAGGTCTTCGAATACTTGGCAGAACACAAACATAAAGCAAAAACTCAAATTTGGAAGCCACCACTAAAAAGTCCAAAACACTCTTAGATTCACATTAACTGAAGAAAGAGGTAGTCCTTAAGATTATACCAAGGAACATGAACTGTTCCCTCCCAATGTGGAACCCCCCGCTTATTCAGTGTATACCTACCAAATGAGAACTCTCTTCCTCTATCTTCTTTTGAATGCCTCACAGCGAAAAAAATAAAAGAATGGCTCTTTAATTTGTTGTCCCATGAAATTTTGTGGGGGACAAAAATGGACATTTCTAGTTCGATGTGTGCCCAGAGAAGATGATCTTCTTGGAATTAGAAGCAAAGTTTGCAACACTAATTCGTAAGAAAGATGATTCATTCAACTACCACAATTCCTAGCTTTTCTTTTATTCTGTGAAATTGATGACTTAAAACCTATATAAATGTAAGTTCTTTTCCTTTATGCACCATTTATACTGCCTTGGCTGCACAGGGTTAATTCGCTGAGCTGGGTCCCCCAGACAAACAAGACAGGATCCAATTTAACTGGAAAGCAGTATAATCGGGAAGTAGGAGATACTAAGGCTCCCCTCACCCCCATCCCACCCAACCAAAAAAATGACAAAAAATGTGGGATGGGGGACAGAGGGATGACTGCTAATGATACCAAAATAAATAAACCTCATTTAAGCAAATAGAATATGCCAGGTTAGGAAAAAGACACTAAGGACCCACATACAAAGATAAGCAGAGGATGCAATTCCCTGTTAAAGAAGCCTATTTGGGAATGAGGAGAATAAGACTTACCTTCATACGACGCTCTCTTAAAGCAAGCAAGCCAGCTTCGGTACAAATTGCCTTTATGTCAGCACCAGAGAATTCATCCTTGGTCATCACAAATTCTTCCAAGTTGACATCATCAGCCAAAGTCATTCTTGATGTGTGTATCTGCAGAATGACAAGAGCAAGGACTCTCACTCGAACAATAAAATAAAATGAAACCAATCTACACGACAAACAACACGCTCAAGTTCAGCATGCTTTAAAATTTACATGCCAAGTACCTGAAAAATACGTCTTCTGGTCTTGATATCAGGCAAAGGAAATTCAATTTTCCGATCAATACGACCAGGACGCAGCAAAGCTGGATCTAGACTCTCGATTCTGTTTGTCGCTAAAATAACTTTAACATCTCCTCTAGAATCAAAACCATCCAACTGGTTCAACAATTCCAACATAGTCCTCTGAATTTCACGTTCACCACCAGAGTGTGCATCATACCTGCCATGCATATCAATATAAGATACAGACTCACAAATTAAAGCACAACTCAAAACAACATCCTTCAAGACACAAGAAGAGCCTCTTTTTACCTCTTTGTACCAACTGCATCAATTTCATCAATGAAGACAATCGAAGGTGAGAGATCATCAGCAACTCTAAAGAGCTCCCTCACTAACTTTGGACCGTCTCCCAAGTACTTTTGAATCAACTCACTCCCAACAACACGCAAGAATGTTGCTGATGTTGAGTTAGCAACAGCCTAGAAGCCCAAACATGATTTTTAGAAGGTAAAACTTCACAAAACTTCACTTATAGAATAAAAATTCACTTCAGCAATACTGGAATTCATGATTACAATAATCATATTAAGCAGGAAAATGAGGCCATATGCAAGGACAAGTGAATACAAATATGAGGTACCCACTCATATATCACGAATTACCAAACAGGAGTGTGGATTAGAAATCAAGAATGTTTGGCATTCTGGAGTTGTCCTGGGCCTCCTAGCACCTATTGTTGACCAATAACTATTCCAACAGGCGATCCCTTGACTGACGCTCTAACACTCT